TAAGCAGTTTCTCTGTGGTGCTGCTTCTGCACACAGTAGGAAAAGCCAGTGGTGGTTCGGACAACAAGAAACCACATCCGGAAGAGGCGCAACTGCCTGATTTCATGCGCATACAAAGCAAATGTCAGTGTCATAAGAAATTGCCAAACAGCTTGCTTTCTTTCACTGTGTGTTGTGCTAACTCCTTTGATCAGCATGTGCTATGCTGTCCTCAGTCATTTGTGGCAAATGCAGCACATTATCTGTGTTGGAATATATGATTGTTGAAGAAAAATACATTAAAATAATTTCCTGGAAGCTAATGCTGAAATAAATGTGACTTGGAACCTGAATATATGAAAGGGCTGTGCTATTCTTATCTTTCTCCTTGCAAGCACATCCAGTAACTCATTGTGGTGAGTGGGGAATTAAAAGTCACAATTTCTTCCTTCCTCTTTGTTGGTGATTTCTGTCCTTAAAAGCACAGACATGTAATTAGTTTAAGTACTATTCAAGGAAGTTGCTTATAGGGTCTTCCAAGGAGACTGGGGCAAAAACAGACCTGAAGGAAAGAGAGAAGGATTTTGCTTGTTTTTCTTTTTAAATTTGTACGTATGATTCCCGATAACCCCTCCCTGCCATCAGCCAGTACTTTTGCTGCAAGACAGCTTTAAGGGAGGGGGAAAGAAGTAGTAGATGATGGGGGTAGGGAATGGGGTTAAGGAAAGAGGGGACTTCATTTTGGTCTTCTATTTAAACTCACAAAATCACAGAAAACCAGGCATCCTACACATTTTCCCACAGGTGGAAGAGCAGGACTTCTGTGTTGAAGTGAACCCCACAACTCCATTATACGTCGTTGGTGCAACACGTGCATGGAAAAGACTCTGAAGCTGGAAAGCTGATGCTTGGTGTGGCTGGGCTTCTTCTGTGACCTCCCGCTTATCTGGGGGAAGGGGGAGAGGCATTGCTTGACTTTCCAGCTCCAGGGTTTTTTTCCCTCTAGAACTAATTTTTGTTGCCCCTCACAGGAAAGGTATATATGTTTTTGTTTTGGTTTGGTTTTTTGTTTTTTTTTTTTAATAAGTTATTTTGGACATTTTTCCTGTGGACATGTAGGAATATTCATCTCTAGTTTCATGTACCTAATCAGTGTAAGCAGAATTCCTGCCTTCTCATTTTCCTCTTAATTACTTGCAGCTTCTGCAGAGAAGAAAGAAGTAGGGACCAGAAATAAGTGTGGTCAGGTTAGATGGCAGAGTGAAACACTAGAATAGCCTGTGTAAGGAATATTTGGAAGTATTTAGAAAAACTCTCAGGCAGCTTTGCAGTGAATTCAGAGGCTTAACCCTGTCTTCGATGCACAAAGGGCTTTTAAGTAGTCTAGGGAAGATATAAACTTGTTTTTCTTAGCTACCTTTAGACATCATTTTATGGAAAATTCTTAGGAAGTGCCCCTAAATAGGTGTAGTCTGAAAATCTGGAAAGGTAGTATGTTATTGCAAGTCATTCTTCCACAGACAGGCACAGACTGTAGACTGTGCTACCTGTCAGTCTGTCTTTAGCCTTATTTTTGCATTTTTAGAATGCTTTCCTTAGTGTTCTGTGCAGTGCAGGCATTCATCAAGCAGCCATTCACCCTGTTTGCTCTTTTGAGATGATGGTCACAGATTGCCATTTGTCATGCTTTTATTTGTGTTGGAGAGTTTGCTATGCTTTTACCATATATTCCCATAAGAATTTTCTGAGTTCTTTTTCTTGGTGTTGCCTTGATTCAGAGATTAAAGAAAATGAAGAGATTAAAGGAAATTAAGAATGTCATGGAGAGAAACAGTACTGTAGCTCTTTAAATAAGGTTGTGCATTTATTTGAGAATTTACAAATTATTGTTCCTGTTGAGTCAATGCAGAATTACACTTTCAATGAAACTTTAAAATAGGTAATTTATAATTAATCTTATAAGCAAATGTTTCCATGGGTATCACATAATCACAGAACAGATAAGGTTGGAAAGAGCTACAACTGGTCATCTGGTCCTTATCAAGAATAGTTAGTTAAAGGAATTACTAAACACCTTCTACAGAATAACAATGTTAACTGCTTTAGTGACTCATTCTTGCAAAACTTTGAGGTGGAAGTCTCAGTAAATTCTGTTTTCCTTCTTCCTTTAAATGTTATTTTTCATGTTATGACTTACAGTTCAGCTCTGCCTTGGAGATTTTTTTCCTAGTTACTTGTTCTGGAAGTGCTGGCATTGGAACAGCTCAGATTTGTCCAGTGAAAGGCAAGGAAACAATACACTCTTGCAGGAGGTAGGGGTATTTTTTGAAGCAAGATGAGTGCTTTTTTTTTTTTTTTTTTTTCTTCAGAGAGGTAAAAAAGCTCAAAATTCCTAAGCACACAGGGTATCCACATTAAGTATTTGAAGTCATGATTTCTCTCTGCCATCAGCTTAATCTGAAACTAGATGTAATGCACTGCAAGGAGTCTGCCTTCAAAGCAGGGAGTGGAGATTTCAAGTTTCTTTGGTTTTTCTTCTTCCTTTGCCTTAATTGTTTGACAGTGTCACTGGAGGAATTGCTTTGAAAGGTAGGAACCCTCACAATTTGGTGATTATGTATTATCAGCTCAAAGTTTTGGTGCTGAAACTCCAAAACCGCATTAAAGGAGCAAAAGAATCGTTTTTTTCCTCCCTCTATGCAATTGATTTCTGCTTGTACGGTATGACTGGTGTACAAAGGAAGAAACTTCCTCTGATCATCTCTGTGCTGTGAAGGAGGGAGGAGAGTGTGAATGGGTGACCTTGTGTGGCTGAGCCACACAGCAGGTTGCTGGGTAATAAATTTCTCTGGAAGGTTGTGGAAGTAAGCTGGTGACACAATGCAAGAGTAGCACAAACTGACACTACTTATCATTGCTTGAGATCCACAAGGAGAAAGGAGGCGAGGAAGAGGGGGAAAGAAAGCGTAGGGAAAGAAACCGGTGAAGAAATTAGAGACTGGCAGATGGTATTTACTGTATTTAAATACAGTGGTGTTCAGTGCCTGCTTTGTGTTCCTGCAGCAGCTGCCTGAGCACGTTAGTGACAAATGGCATGTGAGGTGAGGGATAGGGACCTATTTCTGCAATATTTATTCAAACAAAAATCCTGCTTATGTAAATCCTGAAAAATCACAGCACATCTAGAAATAATTTTGCATGTGCTTTTTTGGAATGTATTTAAAACTGAACATATAAAACTGAAGAGCTGCATGTGGCACACCTGTGTAGTGAGATTCATGGTATGTTATTAGTTTTGTTCAAATGCCTTAGTAAAAGACAAAAATAAAACATATCATACTTGAAGTGGGATGACTTACCTCAGGTGTAAAGTTGGCTTTTTTGTCAAGACATCCTTACCATTGTCATCTCTGCCTTTTTGGTTTTCTTTCCCAGGACATAGATTTCATGGCAGGAGGTGTTAAAAAGAGGGAAAGTCATGTGGCAGTCATTTTTTTCTCTTAGTTACATTCCTAGTTAAGCAAAAGATCTAGTCCTGTCACTAATTTCCTTTCTTTTCTGTGTTGCCCTAAGATATGAATATAGATTCTGCAGGAGTTTGAAAATTACAATGGGATGTTTTTTTCTCCCTGGCCATTATCCAGTTTTGCTCTTTCAGGGAGTGGATGGCTTTTGTTTCCAGTATAAATCCAATAGAAATCTACGACCTTAGAAAAATATAACATTAAGTGTGTTTCACAAGGCAGCTCTTTACAGGGCAAGTCCTCAAAGTATTTGCTTCTGTATCTTCACATTGTCTCACTGAGATAGGAACATCTTTGGTTTTCACTGAAAAATTAGTCTACATTCAGTGAAATCTGCCATTCCCTGGTTAGCATATGGCAGTTTAGGTATCCCTCCACATCTCAGGCTATTGTTTTGATGCATAATAGCATGCATTAAATAATAATGTACTCCTACTGCAGCAGTAGTCACATTCCCTGATAAGAAGTAAGCAGGTGGACTGACAAGTCAGTCATTTGTCTGTGTCATAAACACATGTATCATATTAAGGTAATGTTACCTGAATAGAGATTGTCTATTAGCCTGCCTGTAGCACTGTTAGCTAAAATTCATTCACATCATTAATGCCTGTTCTCCGGTGTACAGCACAATGTCATCCATGAGCTTCAGGCAGATAATTTTACTCATAATGGCTGGAAATATAGACCTGTTCCTGTCTGGTTTGGATGTGACCAGTAGGAGACCAAAATGGAGAGAAAATCAGATGTGTTTCAAAGACTGGCCTGGTTTTGCTCTTTCCTGAGGTAAATGAGCATTTTTGGTGCCTTCAGGCTTATCTTAAGCCAAGAGAGCGTCTTGGATGTCTCATCTTTCCAGCAGAGGCATTCATGTGGCACCAGAGAGATATGTTTCACTTAACAAAGAATAACCCATTGCATTAGACCTTTGCTTTGATTCAGAATTTCCTGACAACTTTGACAGGAGGCAAATGTGTTCCTTAACTCCTTTTTAGTCTCAGACAGACAGCTTTCACTTAGTCCCACAGTACCCCCTGCTCAAGATAAGGGTTGCTTTAGGAGAGCCATTGCTTTTAGGTTTTCTTTTTCCATCTCCATGGAGATAGAGCTCTCCAAGTATCTTGGCTTTACTGACTCACCTCAACTTCCTGTGCCCCAGACCAGAGTGATTTTGCTAAATAAAGGTTTGATTCACAAGTCTTGTGGTCAGACATAAAGTTCCAAGCAAAACAAATACAAAGTGTACAGTACAAGCCTGTGCTTGATAATGGGATAAGCAAATAGGAAATGAAAGGCATATGATAGTCACTAGGATACTGCTGAGAAACCAATTTCCAGCTTGTAAAGATAGCTGTGTTTTAAACAGCCCTCTTACGTGTTCTTCATTACAGCACTTTCTTTGCCACATGCCATTGAGGTGACTGATATTTTCAACATGTTACTGATTTGTGGTTTTGCAGATACTGTATACATTCACATATTTCTCCTTCTTTGTTTCAGAGATGGTGATGTTGCTGGAATGGTGGTCAGGCACCGACTGCACCCTTTACACTGATCCGGAGAGTTACCACAAGTATGGGAAGGAGAATGCCATTGTAATCCTTAATCACAACTTTGAAATTGACTTTCTCTGTGGTTGGAACTTTTGTGAGAGATTTGGGGTCTTGGGGGTGAGTTACTTAGTATTTAAGATAAATGTCCTTGAATGTCAAAGAAACACCAAAATTTGTTAATTGTGTTTTTGAACTAACAGATCCATGCTTGAATTTCACCTGGCTGCTGTCCAGAATTAGAGGTGAACCTAAAGCAGTGCAGTGCAAGTATGTGGAGACAGGATGGCTCAGGAAACCACAGACTTTTTAAAAGCATTGCAGTTAAAGCTGATGAGGAAATATTTTCTTAACTTGTGGAGATCATTTCAGTTATTTCTCTCAGTGTGTTTACTAAGTAAGTATTGCAGTTCATTGTGCTGCATAAAGATGAGCTATCCTGTGATTCTTTCCCAGTTTAATTACAGAATTTCTTTGCTTTTCCCAATGTAGTCTTACAAATCCACAGCTCAGGTTTGAATGATGTGTAGCCTGCCTCTCTCAGAATAAAAGAGCAGCCATCTTAAGTGAAAGCAGTGACCAGCTAAAAGCAGTAAGAGATGGGGAGGAATGAGTTATTCATGCTTGAACACACTGCTGCATTAAGCTAGGAGTTCATGTGCGTTTGTTTTCAGGGCTGCTTTTTTGTTTCCCCTGTCAGATAATGGGGATGATTCAAGCCTCCATCTAAATCAACCTGACTTCATTCTGTGGTGGTAATGGTATTCTCTGTCTATAAAGGATTTATGTAAGGATTTCTCCCTCACAAGGAAGAAAACCAATGACTCAGTTTGGCAGTGTTCTTCAGCATCCTTTTAGCTTTGATGCTGGCCACTGTCAAAAGACCTGACCTGGGACTGTGTGAACCTCTGATTTTTGTGGCCTTCCCTTTGGACTCTGCATTTTCTGGACATTTAGGCAACACTCCTGCCACTTTCAAATTTCAATAATGGCAGTCTGTTTGAAGAAACATTAAAAGGGGCCTTAAAAGTGGAGGAAAGTCAACACTAAGCATTACAGGCTCTTTGGGTAACTAAAATGGCTGTTGGCTTCTGAATAACTTCTGCCATATTGTCTGGGACTTGAGCACAGAGTTGGAGGATGGCATGGAACAGTAGGAGATGTAGGCAAACCTGTTCCTCTCAGGCAAATGTAAGTGCAAAAAACAGTGGTGCTGTAGTATAGTCTGTCTAATTTTGTAAGCCAGATGGCTTCAGTTCTCTAAATAAACCTGTGTTTTTGAGGGTCAGGCACTTCTTCAGAAAACACCAATCTAGAAGATGGAGGGATTGTTTCTGTACAAAGTAATAGGAGCCTACAAGGTCAAAATATCTTGTTTTACATTGTTGCTGTGCAGTTGGATGGAATCTGACCAGCTGCAATTTTTTTTAATAGTTTTCCAAGTTAATAAGGATTCTGTTTTAGTTTTTTATGTTGTTACCTACACATAAGGAAACTACAATGTAGAAACAACTGTTGAAATTACTATGCTGCACTAACAGAAAATAATTACTCCTTTTTTTGGTTGCTTGCATGTATTACTCAGTTTACATTTATGCCAATTTTAGGATTATTTTAGGAACTGATATATGCTGGTTGTGGTTTTGCTTTTTTTTTTTTTTAACAACATAACAAAAACAAATAAAAAACCCAATCAACCAACACAAAACCATTTTAGTCCTGAGTAATGTACTGTGGTTTTACTTCCTAGAAACTGTTCCCGAAAGATATAGTTTCCACGTGGTCTAGTTTGCATAGATGTCTCTACTTAACAAAGCAGTGCATTTCCCTCTTGGGGCAACCAGCCCAAGTTCTTCTTAAACCAGGTTAAAAGAAAGCCATAAAGAAAAAAAAAACATTGTAAAAACCATAAAGAATGGGAAATGCCAAACAGTGATTTTCCTGATTGGATTGCCTATTGCTATTCTGGTACTTATCTTGGGCCAGTGGAAGAGTAGGTGATTGTGCAGTGATGAGGAGTGTAGGTTGGTTTGACTTGTGCTGCCTTACGTGAGCTTCCACTGTGCAAAATTTCAGGGCAAGTTGCGGCAGCACAGTTAGGAACATAAGAACCTTTATGGATGTCATTCAGGGAAAGAGTTATAGGAAAGAGGCAAGTGCACAGGGGACTTTCTGAGGTGTCAGAGCCTCCAGTGTTTTGTAGCTCAGGGATTTTGTGAGCCAATGGGCGTTTATATTTAAGGATGATTAATTATATGCTCCATGGAGTTTCTGTGCAAACTTTGGGTATCAGCCAACACCTTACTTAGCTTATCTCATGTCCACTGCTGCTGGAAGGGAAGTCTTGCACATGCAGTCTCCTGTGTCAGTTATGATGCTTGTCTGCCGTGTTTGGCCATGTTTTAGAAACTTAGTCTCTTTTCTGCCTTAACTAATCCAGTGAAGAGAGGAGAAGTGATGGGGACGGGGAAGAGGGAGAAGGTGAAGACAGTTTAGAGCCAAAGGAGTTGGAACTGACTGTGCTTGGCTTCAGCAGGCAGAATGGCTTTGTTGTGACATCCAGTTGTGGCCTGCAGCTCTGGCAGCCAACAGTAACACTTTTAAGAGTGTACAAGCATGTTCAAACTCTCAGTATTCTACAGCTTGAACAGTTCCTTAATGAAGACCTTTAAATGTTAAATGTAATTTTTTGCTTGGTTGTTGTGGTGTAACCATCCAGGCAGCTAAACACCACACAGCCACTTGCTTACTCCCTGCCCCCCGTGGAATGGGGGAGAGAACTGGGGTAGGGAGGGGAAGGAATTTGGGGCTGAGATAGAGTTTAATAGGACAGAAAAGGAAGGGACAAAAATAATGATAATGAATGATGGTGATAAAAGAATCCGAGTGTATAAAACAAGTTATCCACCATGCAGTTGTTCACCACAGTCCAGTTCTTAGCAGCAGTCCCCAGCCATCTTTCCCCCCCTAGTTTATATACTGAGCATAACATCAAATGGTATGGAATATCCCTTTGGCTAGTTTGAGTCAGCTGTCCTGCTGTGTCTCTTCCCAGCTCTTTGTGTCCACCAGTCTACTTGCTGGCAGGGTGGTGAGAAGCCAGAGTCCTTGTTGTAGTTTAAACACTGCTTAGCAACAACTAAAACATCCGTGTATTATCAACATTATTCTTCTCCTAAACTCAAAACACAGCTACTGGGAAGAAAATTAGCTCTAGTCCAGCTGAAATCCAGGCATTGTTTTTGTTTATTTGAAAACAGTGTTAAACATCCTTAAACCTGTCTTGCCCCTTTGGTTCAAAAAAAAAAAAAGTCTTTCCCTTTTGAAAATTGTGCTTCCTGGTCTTAGTTGAAACGTTCAATCTGTGAATTTGTCTGCTACTTCTTTTGTCTCTCTTCTGGCTGGCTTTCTCCTTATAACCAAATTTCCATAATCCCTACAATTTTATAAAACTCTATCAGTGCTATCAGTGTGGCTTCGATTTATCAATGTGGTTTAGGATTTGGGTAAAAAAACCCAAATCCTAAACCACATTGATGTTTCTTGGAGATAGAGTGGGAGTGGCATAGTCTCTTGCCTGTTTTTAGGTTTGTGAACCTGAGCGTTCTTTTAAGGACTCTGATCTTGGCACATATATGGATGAGGTTCTCTGCTGTCTGCAGTGTCCTTCCCTTTTCCTGTCCGTGAATCCAGTCCTAGGATCTAACTTATTAGCTGGGACAGCTTAGCCACTGTGTCTGCGTTCAAATGCATTACTAGTGTTTAGTTTCCTCAAGGTGTGTTGCTAACCATCCTCTTTAGAAAAGACCCACTGGACACCAGAACTCAAAATCAGGACATGGTCAAGTTCTGAGGAGGGAGCTATTATTCAGGATTCTTACCAAAAGTACTTCAATATGCTCCCTGCCTGGAGTCACTACTTTGGTGTTCTGTCTGACAAAGCAGCAATAAAAGAGCTTTGTTTGTAATTTTAACAGCCATTTGTCTGAGATGAAGACATTAATATTGGCAAAATTGCCTGTGCTTTAAAGCTAAACCTGCTGATTTTAACTTTAACTACCTGTTTCATATGTCAGGAAACTTAATTTTATGTGAGAGTTGCTTCTGTTGAAGCTTGCTATTTGAAAAGCTGAGTGTGGCCTTAAATGTAAGTATGAGAAGATACTTTTTTATATTATTGTATGAGACTAATAGGTGTGTGGGTACAATAGGTTGTTTGTGCATTTTAATATATTCACACATTTTTAAACTAGATTTGAAGTGGTAAAGGGACAAAATTAGGCTTACTAGTGGTAAGTCTGTGTAACGTTTCCAACATAGAGAAGTTTTATTCAATATGAAGCATGAGGAATTAGGAGCATAACTAAATTCCTGGAATGATGGCTTTGAGTGACCAAAGAAAGATACCTTGCCATCATAATGTCCCAGGGAGTATAGTACAAAGGAGTGATATATTACAAAAGTAGAGCAATCAGAATCATTGAAAGTATGTCAGTGCTGAAGGCAACCTGCAGAGCAAATAACTTACAGGGCAGATGGCTGTTGCTAACAGTTTGCTTGTTCTAAAACTCAGGAAAAAGTTTTGTTGGGCACTTCCAGCTTTCACATTGATTTCATGCTGTTTGTTATGTTCTTTAAACAAGAAGTGTTGAATAACTGAGGCTGGACATACAGAATCAAGATTTTATTTCTTTGACAGCATAGTTGGGCAAATGCACTAAAGCAAGTTTGTAAAAATACGTTTTTTAAGGTGATGTTGGTGCAGTCATTCACAAAGGAAAACTTCATGGGTATTTCATTTGAACAAACTTGGCCAAAATTAATTAACCTGGATTAAAATGTTAGTATTATAGATAAGTTGTCCTTGTCCAGTGGTAATTTCATTAAACATCTGTTGAAATGACACAGTTCTGAGGGCTGAAAATGTTTGACTTCCTTTAAGAAGTCAAATTCAGTGGAACAAATCAGCACTTTTTAATGATTATTTTTCTGTTGAGCAAGCTGAATTTTAATATTAAAGGCAACTGTCACATGTTTACCAAAGCACTTTAGTAAAGGAAAAGTTAGTGGCTGAAGTCATCTAGAGTTCTGATTTCCCACCCAGTTGTTTTCACAGGAGCAGTGCATGGGTAGATGATGGAAACAGAATGGCTCTAGTTACTGTAAGAGGGATCACAGAATCACAGAACATGCCAAGGTGGAAGGGACCCACAAGGGTCAGAGTTTCCAACTCCTGACCCTGCACAGCACCATTCCCAGGAATCACACCTGGTACCCAAGAGTGTTGTCCAAACACTTCTTGAACTCTGTCAGGCTGGTGCAGTGACCACTTCCCTGGGGAGCTGTTCCAGTAATAAACCCTGTGGGGTGAAGAACCTTATCCTAATATCCAACCTAAACCTCCCCTGACACAACTTCAGGCCATTCCCTTGGGTGCTGTCACTGTCACCCCAGAGCAGAGATCAGTGCCTGCCCCTCCCCTTCCCCCATGAGGAAGTTGTAGCTGCAGTGAGGTCTCCCCTCAGTCTCCTCCAGGCTGAGCAGACCAAATGGCCTCGCCTGCTCCTCATAGGGCTTCTCCTCGAGGTCCTCCACCATCCTCATGGTCCTGCTTTGGACACTCTCTAACAGTTCAATGTCTTTTTTACATTGTGTCACACAAAACTGCCCCCAGCACTCGAGGTGAGGCCACCCCAGCTCAGAGAAGAGCAGGACAATCCCGTCCCTTGCCCGGCTGGCGATGCTGTGCCTGATGCACCCCAGGACAGGGTTGGCCCTCCTGGCTGCCAGAGCACTGCTGGCTCTTGTTCAATTTGCCATCAACCAGGACCCCCAGGTCCCTTTCTGTGGCACTGCTCTCCAGACTCTCATTCCCCAGTATACAGAGCAGCTTCTGAGGGGACGCCTAATGTATTCCTCCCCCACAAGAGCAGCCTTGCCAGCATAATGCACTGAGGAGTTTCCCTGTCTAATTAGTTCTGTTATTAGCCTTCCTTCTACTCCTAGAACAGATGGGTGTATAAAATACTGTGAGGTGATTTAGTTTATTTTTATGTGCATCTAAGGAGTCATATTCACACATGTCTGAAAGAGCGCTTTTAAATTTTAAAAATGCATCAGCACAGTGAAGGATTAAGAATGTGCCCCAGGGAAGAGTTCAGACATCTGTTGTGCTTTTTGGTTATACCTGTGCTACAGAACACCTTATGTCACAGTATCATTTCTTGGTTTCACTGAGCCAGGTGCAACTTCTCTCCTGTCTCTTGTGTAACTCATGCTCTTATTAAAATACGTAAAGTATTAGAAAATAGTTATGGTGAAATAGTCATTTAGCTAGCTTTTTCGACTATAATTTCTGCACTTTAAAGTCTGTAGGAAGACTGTTACACTGTCTGTTCTGACACTGTGTTCTGGAGGTCTTGTGCACTCTGTGCAGAGTACACTCAGATTAGTTTGCGGTAGTTCTTATGACACTGAACACTTTAAATAAACTTTAGGAACATATTGAGGTTTCTTCTCTTCTGTGGGGTGGGGCTGGTGGTGATTTGGCTGCTGTTGACCTCCTTGTGCAGGAAAGTGGTAAAAGACGAGCCTGTTTCTCTGTGCCCAGTTTGGGGAGCTGGAAGAGGAGGCTGGATTCGGTTCTGTTGTGTAATGGGGACTAATGTACAACATGGCTTGAAACTGAAATTACTGCAGCTCCTTCTCAGGGGAGCAGTATGTTTGGAGCCCTGATTTGAGCCCATCACTGAAATGATGAAATTCTCAAATGCTCAAGAGGGAGCACTACAAAGCATTAAATCATTTGATAGAGACAGTTCCTGCATTCCTAGAAATGGAACTCTCTGTCATCCTCTGTTCAGCTTCTGTGTAACAGTTGCTGGTGAAGCTGTGTGATGTGCACTTGCCTTCCAGTCTTATAAGCTTTTAGATAGCTTAATTATTTAAGGTATTTTCCTTCTCAGGGAAGGAGAGCAGATGAAAAAAATGAGCTGAGATAAAGAATTAGGTCAAGTCTCTTCCTGTAGCAGCCAAATGAACAAGAGTGACTAAAAAATTAAAGGAAGTGTTTTCTGTTGATGGTAACGTCTACCAATAAGTAATTTCTCATCAAATGCCATGTCCTGGAATCCATCTGTGGAGCTTTTTGATGGGCTAACTTATAATAATATCATGGTCAGAAACTGGACTGTAATTACTCCTATCTTTCTTCTAAGGAAATGCCACTGTTTTTTAGGAAATGCTGAAGCAACAATTTCTTTATGAACACAACACACACATGCTATTTTATTGATTGAATAACCAAGTGAAATGTAAGACAGTTCACCAGGGTAGGCTGGCTTGGAAGACAAAAAAGGAGCAAAAGGAGCACATGGAATCAATTCTCCTGCCCTAGGCAATGTTAGTTTGAGATTATCACAGAGTTAAATTCTGGAGTAGGATTAATTTATAGAGCATGTTGAATGCTTGATAAATCACAGACTTTCTGTCAAATGTCTGGACCAGTCACTTCAGTGTCTTGTCACTCCTGTGAGACAGTAAGAGTGTTTTTTTTTTGTTTTTTCCTACTCCGGAAGCATGCTTTGAAGAGAAATTTGCTACTTGATGTATGCCCTTTCATAAACAAAACTGAACACAAATTAAGTATTCTTGTTGCTGCTGTTGTTTCTAGTGTTTAAGGTTTCTTAACATGGTTGGTAAACCATGTGTGCATCGCATCAGTATGTTGTGCTGCAGTGTCTCTGCAATTCTGCTTTTTATTTCCTCTCTTTTTTTTCCCCTTCCATGTTGAGATGTATTGTTTCAAGGTATCTTAAAGGAACTTGAGCTGCCACTGCCACGATCTGATTGAATTAAGAATTTTGATTGATACAACTGAGGTCATTTGCATGGATTCCTCCATGTTTGAAGGAATTTGGTTTCTCTTTTGGGTTTCAGTGTTTGGGTAGGAGAGAGCAACACACACTCCATGCAGATACCCGAGATTAGATTTGACTGTTCTGTCAGATGAGAGGAACTTATTTTTCTTTGTTTTGCTTTCACACTGATGTTAAAACTGGGTCTGGTCAATATAAATTGATATCTTTGTGTCTAACTATGCAAGTCTCGTGCCCACAGTTCACTCTTTTGGTGGTTTAACTCTGGTTTAAGTGGTTTAACTTAACTCTGGTTAAGTGGTTTAACTCTGACTTGCTCTGATTCTGTCTTGCAGAGTTCCAAAGTGCTTGCAAAGAAGGAGCTCTCCTACATGCCTATCATTGGCTGGATGTGGTATTTCCTAGAGATAGTCTTCTGCAAGCGCAAGTGGGAGGAAGATCGGAAAACTGTGGTACAGAAGTTGCTCAATCTCCGTGACTACCCTGAAGACTTTTGGGTGAGTGATGCTTAACAAATGGAGTGTGAAGTAGCAGAAAGGAGAGGAACAGGCAATATGTAATGCTTGCCAGGTTGTTCCTGAGATTTTTGATTCATTAGCTTCCTTGGGAGTATCAGTAGAATACTCTCAACTGAATTTTCTTTGGAGTTTCCGAAGTACTTTGTTATCTGTTTCTTTCTCTGTAGTATGAAGCCCTGCAGATATTGCTGCAAAAATAATATTATAATGTAATATATACTGCACTGTGATCCACTCAGTAAATTTTGTGGTTCTCTAATTACAGGTGCTGGATAGGGGTAGATGCAAGGGTCATGGCTGTGTAACAGATGCATCTGACAGTGTTGTACTGAAGTACATCAGCTATATTTGTTACCTAAGCTCTTCTTTCACCTTAGATTGCAGAGTTAATATACCAGAGTTTTCTCCTTCCCTGTGATTCTGCCATTCCTGTGAAGGTGTTTGGTTAGACATGGCCTAGTGGAAGTGGAAGCCACCTGGTTAGAGAAGTGGCCTGAGATAGCCATTGTCTCTGTTCCAGGGAGAGGATTGGTATCACCTTTCAGTAACAAGAAAGTCTTTTTGCATCACCATAATTTTTTAGTGTTCACCGTCCCTGGCATTTCTTTATCTGAGAATGAAAAGCCTTTGAATTTTTTCTCTTCTCAAGAATCATAAAAATTACAGTTCTTCTGAGCTAGTCATGGCAAGAGTGCAATTCAGTTAAAGAAATGGAATCTAAAGCAACATCCCTGGGTACTACAGAAACTATTGCTGTTTCCTCATGGAGGTGTATATGCTGTATTTCTCATGCTCTTAAACAAATTCCTTTTGTTAATTGTCATTGATTTAAATGAGTACTAAGCAATAAAGGCTAATGTCTGTGCTTCAGTGTTTAAGTGACTTCCAGGCAGGAGGCTGTCTAGCAAAGAGTTGATTCTGGGATTTTAGTTTCAGTTTCTCTCCAGAGATTTGCCTGTGCTCTGTGAATTTTCTATACACATAGGCAGCTCAGCTCTAATCAGTGAGCACAAGGCACCACCATCCTGTAGATAACTCCTGTAGAGGGATTGCTAAAAAGAAGCTCTACCTATGTAAGAGAGATAATTGTTGATGTACACCTGCAGTTATTGCAGTGTGTGGAGTTTTAATTTGCTTTTGTATGACGACATAATGTCAAAAGGTGTAACAGTAGCACCTTGGAAAATAGACAAGGCAAAGCATGCTAAGTGAACTAGAGAGACTTTCTCATCAGTTTCTCTGTGTCTCATCAATCAGAATAACATTATGCATGCAATACATGAGTAAAAGCGCTCTTGGATGAGCTAGAGCTGAAGCTGGCTGCTTGGCTAGTTTCTTCAATATCTCTGTCTTTTTGGTTACGCTTTTGCTGTGGGTTATGAGGACTTACTTTGTGTCATTTGGCAGTGCTCCCTGATGTGTTAGTTTGCATTCATGCTTGGCAGAAAGCAGATGAGCAAGTGGTAAATCTCCAAAGATCTGTGTGTTCTCCCCTGCCTGCCAGTGGCAAGATTGTAATTATTCCTATCTGAGCACTTCCACTGTATAGTTCATAAGAGCATGAGCCTTTCAGTTGTCCTGCATGTGCCGCCTTACCTCTGTTAACAGCTGTCACATTGGCATCAAAGTTACTGCCTGAAGTTTTCCATGGACCTCAAGTGCCATAGAGAAAGCAAACAGGTTAGAGTGAGGGCAAGCAAGGTAGGCACTGAAACATTTCCTAGAAATGCCTCTGGTTTAGACACTTAGCAAGTTTTAGATGCCATGATGTTTGAACACTTAACCATCAGAGAGAGACTTGCAACAGGAGTATGTTTTGAGTGTTTTCTAACAGCTTATTAGAGATGAAGTGACCCCAAGAAATCAAGTCATTCTGATGTCAAGTAGCAGAGCAGACATTAAAGCCTAAAGGCTGAGATTCAGACTGGATGGCAAGTTGGATGAGTGTTTGGATTTGGGCTTTTGGGTTGGGTTTTTTTGGTTGATTGGGATTTGCTACTTCAGTCAAATAAATTACATAAATGTGTCCCAGCTAGCAGTGTTAATTTGGGTTGTGCTGGTGGGAATTCAAGAGAACTCTGCTCAGTCAGCAGCAGACCTGAGCTTCTGTCTAACTGTAGTTCTGTCTTGGTTTTAGTTCCTGATTCATTGTGAGGGCACAAGGTTCACAGAACAGAAGCACCAGATCAGCATGAAGGTAGCTGAAGCCAAAGGTCTGCCCAAGCTCAAGTACCACCTCCTGCCACGAACGAAAGGATTTGCTGTCACCGTGCAGTGTTTGAGAAATGTAGGTAAGGAAAGTCACAGGGGACAATGCTAAATTATTATTTCCTGTAACTGCTGACAGTTTGCCATGCTTTTCTTTTCCCTGTAGCATGTGTCCTAGGAGAAAAATCCTGGGATGCTTTCAGAAGCATCTGGTTTTTTCATTACCCTCTGGTTTTAATTACAAAGTCCTGAACCAGTTTGTGGAATTGATTTTGGTTGGGGTTTTTTTGTTTTTGTTTTTTTTTTCTTTTTGTTTGTTTGTTTTTGTTTTATTTTATTATCGTAATGGTTTGTTAACTGTGACTGTGTTGAGGAATCTCAGTTGCATATTTTGTACCAATTGGTATGTATTTTTTTTGCATTTTTTGTACCTATTGCCAAAGAATAGTATTTCTTAGAATAGAATTCCTTAGCAAATACTAAATGAAGCAAATGCAACAGTAGAGAATCTGAGACGGTGTGTCTTAAAATAATTTCTTGTGATAAATGACTACCTGAAATAATGCAAATTTAAGATCAAAAATATTCTGCTTTAAATTTCTGTATAGATTTGCGCTTTAGAGTTTCTTAATGGAGCTGAGGAAGGGGAGTAGGCCTTGACTGAAGATACATGTAGGTGAAATTTATAAACAGTTTCTACATTATAGAACATGAGTAAGTTTTTCTTCATTAACATTGTTTTGAGCTCGCCATTTATTTCTGGTTACTTGCATTTGCCAACTTTAAAGTGACATCATATTGCACATGTTGCCTTTGAGGTGATATTCTTTGATTAACACTACTATCAGAGTCTTCTGCTGTGTACTTCATGGGCAAAGGAAAGACAGTGCTAAGTAGCTGTAGTGTCACAGGGTCTTTGGGGTCTGGTAGATTTGTGTGTTAGATGGCTGATGTATAAGAAAGAAAAAAGTGGTTTCTGATTTAGAAGAAAATGTTCCAGCTTGACTGAAATTAATGTCAAAACTTCTTTTGTCCTTGAAGACATGTTTTTATGTGGAATATCTGGGATAGCTGCTGTAAGAAAAACTTCCAGTCAGCTGGGTTGCTATCTCATGTATTTCTTCTAAATACCCTTTGGCAAGCCAGGTAGATCATACCACTGTTGTAGCTTCACAGGCACCCAAAAACTTCCCACCCCCAAGGTGGATAGCACAGCTTGGATCCTTTCTGATCCATGAAAAAGAGGTAAGTTATGTGAAGCATCCAGAAACCCCCCCAAAGAGTACAATTTAGTCTTGCCTTTGGAATACAGGTGACTGTTCTGCTGAGGGCAGGCGGTAGTAGACTTGAGGCACAGAAAAAGGCTTGAGTCAAAATTCTGTGGCTTCTATGCCCTGAGCTGGGAATCAGGAACAGGTTATTTTGGTGGTGAGTTTGTTCTTTTCACTGCTCTGTGTAATGCAAACAAAATACAGTGTGATGGTGGACAAGCAGCTAATTGTGGGAAAACATTCCAAAAGGAAGCAACTTTAGGAAATCCAAGTGACATAAAAAGTTTTGGACATTCATGCCACATACTACCATAACACTTACTAGTACTCTAAATATTTGAAATACCTTCAGAAAAAGGAGACTGAATTTGCTAGATTACTTATTTTTTTAGGGGAGTATATGTCACTGCCTCAATCCAGAAGCTGTAACTTGCTAAATCAACTAGTGTAAAGCCTGTAAGAAGGCAGTATTTCCCTGTGAGGCTTCAAGAAAAAGCAGTCATAACTTCTCATACACAGTTTCAGCAAAAACTTGAGCTTAAAAAGCCAACCAACAAACCTCTGAGAGTTGGATGACCCCAGACTGGTGTTACAGGTTCTTCTAGGTTTGTTGCTTTACTTGCCTTGTTATTTTTTGCAATGAGAGGAAGATAGAAAGGTTACTGCTTGGGTTAACAAGAGATTAATGTAAAGAGCATATGAAAACAATGTCTTATTTTCCAGAACTCCTTGTGGCATTATCATGTAAAGGTAATAAGTCCATGTGGATTTTTGAATAGATAATGTGGGAGCAGTCTCTTTTGAGAAATGATCTGGAAATGTAATACTGTCTAGAAATTAGGTCATATCCCTGTGTATCTCTAAAAGTGAGGGACTAGTGCTGAGTGGCCTGAGCCTGTTTTGGGCTCTGCCATTGAGGTCGATGCACATTCTGTTCTCCCCCAAAGGGATGGGCCTGGCTGGAGTGCCTTGCTAAGGGATGTAGCTGCAGCAGGACACAGCAGTGGAGCCAAGTCACAGGTCTGGGACCAGTTCACAGCTGGGTGTGACAGCTCCTGTCCCATTTTTTTTTCCTCCTCTCTGACAAGGGTGTGATTCAGCTTGTCAGAGGCTGTAGTACTATGGGTTGGGTAGATGCTGGTTCTCTGGCTGTAGATGTAATTCACCCATGCAGCAGAGATCATGGGTTGATCCTCTTCAAAACTTTGTATCAAGTCTTAATGCTGCCTGCTGCAGTCACTCTAGAAAGAGTTCTGAAGTAGTTCTGCAGTAGCTGGAAATATACATTGGTGACATCAGTCTGGCAAGCCCACTTGTTGTGAAAAACTTAGTTTCAGAAAGAGTTTATTTAATGTGCATATATTGGAATCTTCATCCATGCCAGTGATGCCGTGTCTGTCAGCATAAATAGATGTATTTGGAGAAAAATACCTTTCACGCAAAATAACAAGTAAAGAGTCTTCCCTCCTAACTAATCGCTTTCATAAGTGATAATGGAATTGTTTTTTCTTCACAACTTGCTTTCGGAAGTTCAGCTCTCCATACATAATTTGATTCTTAAAGAAATGCTTTTAATATTTTCTGAACTTGTCCTGATATATTTGTCAGTGACCATTCCTGCCAGTATGGTTTTACAGATGCTGTCCCCAGGAATTTAATTTCTAGAAGCTGTTCACTTTCTTAATAAATTGCTGTTTGCTAACTGTACTATTCATGGAAGCAAATGAAAATACAAATCTGTTTCTAAAACATTCATCCATTACTTACAGTAAAAGTTGATGTCTCAAATACTGCAAAAAATATATTTAACTGTTACTTTTACTGTCTGGTTGTATATCAGGCAGTTCCTTACAGCTGCTTTTATTTAGTAAAGACTTTGACTTTAAAATGTTCTTCATGATGGATTGTAGATAAGCCCAAGATTTGTTGTGCACCTTTTCCTCCAGTTGTGCATGCTAGGAACTGCTGTCCCAGAGGGAATGCATGAGAATAAATTTCAGGGTGATATTTTCATAGAGTTCATTATGACAATGTTTGGGGGTATTGCAATTACTTTTTTCCCCCATAAGCTGTATATTAGTCCTGGATTTTTTTTTTTTTTTTTTTTTTTTTTTTTTTTTTTTGTCAAGTGGGTTTCTATTCATCATCCAGAGCAAGTAACCAAGTTTGAGAGGATGAGTGGTTTTTGTTTAAGCTGGCCCAATTAATGAAATGTTGAATCAAAGGATTGTGTCAAGGTAGTGTCACATCAGCAGTACAGTGAATGTCACTGTACCTTTCCCTCCCTTTTCCAGTCTTCAGATCATTTTGTGCTATCATGAAGATGCATGTAGCCCTAGTCATTGCCTGTGGGTCGATTTGTCAGTGAATCATCCTGGCATAATCCACCATGGCCACAAAGTAATGCGTGAAATTCAAGAGGACAGTCAAAGTAAGAAAAATCCTCTCTAGATATGTAATCCAAATATTTTTTTTTCTTGGTTGAAGTTAAGAAATTAAATCTTAAATTCTTAAGTACTTAGGTCTCTTTTGGAATGCTGTAGACAAAGCCCAAAGTTAAAGATATGACAAAAAAGCTGGGCAGAGATTAGAAAGCAAAAACAAAACCAAAAAACCTAATCAGTTTTTTGACAAAAAGAAAAAGCTTTAAAATATTTGTGTGTAGTTTTTTAGTGAAAAAGAGATTCTGAGATATAACTCCTTTGAAAAAATATTTCACAATTGAAGCAAAACTTCAATTACAAGCAATTGGTGCTTGTATTAGCCTGAGAGTGAGACAGTTGCAATGTTTTTAAGATACTATGGAGGTTTTTTTTTTTTAAATTGTTTTAGAATGTGAGTTTTCTGGTCTCTTCAGCTTTTGGATGAGAAAGTCATGAGATGTCCAATTCTAATTATGCAATTACATAATCCATGTTTAATGATAACCAGTTTCAGTGTATCACACAGCATGCTAGTGCTTCTTTTGACTCTGGATGCCTTCTGGCAAATTTTAATTTCATGCAGCCTATTTCTTGGACACATAAATTGTTATTCTTTTCCCGAACTCTCAGAATGAGAAAGCTAAAATCTTTAGTTATCTTAATTTATAACAAAGGTCTGATTACTCCTGCACTTGTCTTCGGTTTGGCACTGCTTTGCACCAAAAGATTTCACTATGTTATTACAAGGTACTAGACTGAATATTTAACTACAGACCACTTGGAAACTGGAATAGCTTTTTTTTTTTTTTCCTGGAGAAAAGGAAAGCTCTGTGTAGGACTGTTAGCACATAAAGATGTTGCTGTCCATCTCCACAGCGGTATTTTTCAGAACAGGAGAACTATTTTCCAATGTGTCTCAACAAAAACCCAATTCATATAAAAACTCAAATGTAGATGCCTTGTAAGAGATAGAAGAAAAAGTTTTGTGTATATCATACTTTGCTTTATTGCATCCCTATTGTTGTTAGAATAATCTCATGCTATTAAAGAATAAACTAAGAAGCTTACACTGTATAAACCAAACTGAGCTCTTGTTTCCCTTCAATTACATTGGATTAGTAAATTAGAGTAGATTAGTAAAATCCTTCTACACTAAGAAGCTTAAAAATGGAGGCAGATAATTGATTTAAAATAATTTCATACTTGCATTTTACAGGGAGAGAAGTGTGCTTGAAGTAGATTCTGTCTTGGTTTTAGTTTTGAGTTTGGGCTGAGAACCCAATTGTAGTAGGAAAAGAATTGAGTTGTTAGTGAGGGACAGAGTCTTTTTGTACTGACAGGGGTTTGGCCTTTCTTTTCAGGATTTCCCTTCAGCACTGAAGCCAGGCTGTTCTTTTCTCCGCTGTGAATTCAGTTTTGCAGTAACAAACGATGTAGTGAGTTTCTGGGAGCTGAATGCTGAGACCAAACCATATTTATCTCTCATAGCTAGAGAGGTTTCAAAACCAAGAGCAAATCTGTCCTGTGTAATAAGTCTTTCTTAGGTGGGTCAAGAGGTCTCACAATAAAGGTTCACCACATGCATTTTTATTAATAATTGCAAAACTCTAGAGCAGAAAGCCTACACATAGTCACATTTGCAACAAAAAATAGGAAAGCTTTTTTCTGTAATTGCACTTAGAGTTTATGCCATTATGCACAACTGATTTCAGTGTTGGGAAAGTGAATCGTTCTCTGGTAATTTTGTGACATCAGGAAAATAGTGTATCTAGAGATGTGTTCAAATAAACTTTTTTGCAGCACTTCATGCGGTTCTAACCAGTGAATGCTTTTTTTGTAGCAGTTGCTTGTTACTGCTCTTTTAGTTTGTCTGCCATCAGCCTTTGCAAATGGTTTTACTGTTCCCACCCAGTCCTGAGCTGCACAGTTTTCTCAGTGCTGGAAGTTTTGCTCAGCAGAACTTCCATGTTCTCTTCCTCACATCTGCATGTGTTCATAGCAGCAGGCAGCTCACACAAGATGTGGTGTGTCATTCTCTCTCTGCCTTTGCCCTGGAGGAAGTGCCTGAGTTTCCAAACAATGGACATGAACCCAGCCATTTAAATTTACAGCTGCACTAAGCCCTCCTGCTGCAGAAGTCTCTTACACACACTTCACATGTTCTTGGTCAAAGGGTACATATTGTTCATTTTTATAAAATGTATATCTGCCTTGTTGTTTCCTCAGATTTAGGGGGTAGTTGTTGATTCCCAGCGAGCTGAAAAAGTTAGCAGTTCTGCAATCATTTGACTCCTGGGAAGTCCTAGGTGTATTCTGTCAGAAGCTATCATACTGCACCTGATGAGGAAGAGGCATGTGTGGAAGGAGAGCAAACCTTTCCATTCTGCTGGTGCAATTCCTGAAAGAGTCACTGGTTATTTGGCTTCTGAAAACCTGCATGTTGAATATTCTGTTGTCATTTTTTCTTGGTGACAGCTCAAACTGTGGTGGTATTGCTGATGACTTACTTAAATATTCTCCTTGTCTGAGAGATAATTACTTATTTCCATGGTGTTACTACATAATGGAATTATGTATTACTACATAACCTGTTTTTCTTCTTGTAGTTTCTGCAGTCTATGATTCTACCCTTAATTTTAGAAATAATGAAAATCCAACGTTGCTGGGAGTTCTAAATGGAAAGAAGTATCATGCAGATTTATATGTAAGGCAAGTAATCAATATTTTAATTCCTTTTAAGCAGGAGCGTGTACTTGAAATCACACTTGGTCAAATAAGGGAATGTTTTCAAGTGGGTAAACAGAAAGAAGATCTCTACCAACCTGGCAAAGCATGAAAATTCCTTTTCACAACTCAGGGGTAGCTGCTTACCCATCCTGAAAAGCTGTTACACGCAGGGTAAACCTGTCTAAATTTGTTTTGGTGATTAGCTGGGGACTATCACAGATTTCTTCATAATCTCTTCTGTATTTGCTTGTTGAAGTGCTGTAGGTGTTGCACAAGTTAAAAAAGGTGAAAAATGTATTGAGTCTTCTGTCAGATAATGTCTGTATAATGCAAGTACTGTTCATGAAAGTCGAAGTATTTAATATTCTTCCAATTTCTCTTGTTTACCATTGGCAGGCGGATTCCACTAGAGGATGTCCCAGAAGATGAGCAGGAATGTTCTATCTGGCTTCACAAACTATATCAAGAAAAGGTTGGATTTTTTTGTCAAGACAGCATTTGTGAGCCACTAGTGCATGGTTATTTGTAGTGCCAGTAGACCTTTGCAGTGTTCATGTGTACAGTGTGCATAATTTGGAGGCTTGGGGTGAGTTGGTTTGTTTTCAGGGTGAGTGCTCTGTTTCTTTACATGTAAACTGACCCTGTGCTTATGATTGCTTTCATTTTGTACACAGAGCAACATGGAAGAAAGCTTAAACAAGTCTTTCTAGAGCAGTTTTAAGTCTCTTCTTTAGAAAGTTGCATAAGGATACAAAAATCAAAATTGTCTTACTGCCTTCTGATTGGTAGAAAGACCCCCTTCCCCTAAAAGACACATTCTAAATCAGGACGTAATTTGCAAGCTAAATAAGACATTTTCTTTAGTTCATTACAATTTTTGTCTCTTGTTTTACCCTACCTTTTTTACCAAGGCAGACATCCACCATGAAAAGGACAGGCTGATAAATTGTTTTCACGCTGTGGGTATAGAAGACGTGCATTTAAGATTCCTAATTTCATAGGATTGGGAGAGAATAATTATTGTGTTTCTACCCCCAGTAGTTTGTGGTTTTTTCTTTCTTTTTTCCTTTGCAAATGCTTTCATATGAATCCTTCCTCTTTCACAGTCCGTTTCTTCTGGGCTGTGTTTAGAGTGTTGGAGATAGTTGTTGGGGGATGTGTTTCTTGAGTGCACACAGCAATCCCATTTCAATCAGTGGGAGTCATAGGTGTGCACAGCATGAGGGCCTGGCAGCTCACTTTGCTTCAATACCTTGATCAAAGTTATATATTCAGACTGGTATGCAGCAGTGCTTTGGATTTAGAAATTATAGAATATAGCTATTCTCTGGTTTCCTCTCACTGGGACAGCAAAATTCTTCTGTGCCATTTGTATCCTGCTCTTCCGAGTACACCACATTAGCATTTCTGTATTGACAGTGCCCTGGCAGTTTTCAGTTTCAAACCATGACTGTTTCTGGTGTAATTCATAGCTCCTCTAAGCAGCTTGCTTACAGGTATGTGGAAAGGAAATATGTCTTGAGGCCTCATGTGTAGCTCTACTCCCTTTGCCTCTGATTCCCCTTCTCATAGTTTGTGCCCCTAACACCTGATTCAGGCACAGCCCCCAGCACCTTTGCAGAAAAGCAGGCTCTTACCCAGGGGCCCATGTATATGTAAACAGTCCTTTTGCTCAGCATTGCAGAAGTCCACTTTCTGCTACTATGACTTTGTAGCCCCGTTTCATGTCCCTGAGAACTATTCAGACATTTGCAAGACAAGAACATAAGTGTAAATGTGGTGATTGTTTTTCTCAATCCTTTATTACATAGTTGCAGTAATTTACTCCAAGATTTTTCTGTTATTCCCTCTTTGGCAGACACTCAGTTGCTTCTAGTGCTACCAGAGGTTGCATCTATGCTTCATAATATTATATTGTACAATATATCATAATATTCTTCGTATCTGTTCTTTATGACAACTTCATTTGCTGGTTGGTTAAGTCTCTGTTTTCCTATTTAAGTACAGGAGTGACGTTTTGCATCAAGGAGTGAAGTATGCAGTGTTCAGTTTTCCATTCCACTAAAACCTTTTTTGGTTATGTGAATGTTTTGATTGATTAATGCTGGAGGGAGTTGTCTGTTTATGTTTTGGTTTGGGATTTTTGATGATGATTTTAGTTTTTCTCTGAAGGCAGCATGTTTCTCTTTCTCCAGCTGTTTTACTTTAGTGAAACTTACTTCATTGCAGTCATTCCTGGTTTACTGAAGCCCATGTCTTTGCAAAATCAAACTGGCAGAATATAGAGCAGGGACAACTTCTTCCAGAGTTCTGAGATGGTGAAAGCCCACCTGCAGGGTAAAAATACAATTTTGTTTCACCTTTCTGCCCTGCATCTTAGAAAGATGACGGGCTCTTAGGTCAGATAACGAAAAGCAGTGCCCACCCAGGTGCTGTTTCCAAAAATTAATTCTGTTTCAGGTTATCTTCAGAGTCAGAAAATATTTATGACATAATGTAAAACAGTGTTATTCAAAAGGCAGTAATTAATTGCAAGGTACACACTCATCCCCTGCTTTGTCTGTTTTGGCTGCAGCACTTCACTTGCTGTTTCAAAGTAAGACAAGATGTGCATGCTACATTTTAGCACACATTATGGTTCCCTGTTCCGTTGCTTATTCTCAAGAAGTTTAATAATTTTGCAGTAGTTTCTCAAGACTCACATACAATGTACTGAATTATGCTGTAGTAGCCTGATTTAGTGGCTGGAGAGTGCCACAGGTACTGAGGTCAAGGCCTGTGCATCCAAGATGATCAGGACTGCAGAGCTGTTGGAATAAATAATGAAATCAGCAGTTACTGGACATGAAGGGACACTGATTTTTTTTTTTTTATGTATTTATTTCCCCATATTGACATTTGTAAAGGAGTGAGAGTCTTCGAAAAAATCTTACTCCGTTGTTTTTTACCTCTGAGCTACTTCTCTGTGGGAGCCTGTTGTGCTTATGTTCTTGCTACTTATCACTTCATTTTTTGGCTTAAGTCACTGCTACAAATGCAGTTGAACAGAGTCCTGCCAGATAAACAGTGGCATTGTGTTGCTGCTCTAAACCAAACACTGTTCTTTCCCAGGCTTACAGTAAGTACCATCTCCACATGCTTCTTCCTCACCAGGGGTAGATTTTGTCCTTCCACATATGGCCAGCACTGTATCAGTTAGTTCCAAATTATGGCAGAAGTTCAACTGGGGTTGCACATTGCCTTCTCTTTTTATTTATTTTTTTTTAACTGCCGTTGCTAGAAAGGCTCCCTTTGACGTTAACAAGGACTGGGCTGAGGATCTTTTTGCCAGGTGTGAAGAGGTAATATGTATGTTGCCTTTATAAAGGACAACCAGGGACCTGGTTCAGGTGGCAGCACGGCGGCCTGGTCTCGCCCAAGCCACTCGGGCTAATCAACACACGCATACACCAATATGGCAGACGGTCGAAAAGCCTTTATTATCCTATCTCGTGGGTTTAAATAGTTTTAGGGGTCTTTGCTACGTCAGAGGGGGGTTGGGGGGTCTCAGGGATTAGTAAGGAGTGGAAATTTACCAGGGCAGGTGTGGCTACATGCTCCTGGGGCTTCTGGGGTTAATAGATAACGTGGGGAAGAGAGAGGGGGAGGGGTCTATCTTTCCGTCACATCCCGTGGTCTTCCGCTTCGCCTGTCCCTTATCTACTACATATGTAGTAGTCACAACTCTGCTCGTTCTTTCATGTTTTTTTTCTTTTTTTAATCTCCTTATAGCTTCAGTGCCTGAAGTAGAAGTTCTGCTTGAGAATCTTAATTTTCATTAAAAAGAGAGCAAGCTTCTATTTCTTCTTGCTTGTAAAAGAAACTTGGAAAACAGGGCCTGAAAATATATGCAGAAATGTCCTAGGGAATCAGCAAAGCTTAACTGAAGAGGAGAAGTGTACAGAACTCCAGTGTTTGGGAACAAATAATGTATTTTTGGATACTCGTTCTCTGTGGGCTTCCTCACAACAAGGCAGCAGCATACCTCTGCTGTCAGACCTCCTGGTGGAACGATGAGGAAGAATCCAGTTAGCCTCTCACAAGGAGATGGATATTCCCTGATTTCTCCTCACTGCATTACCGCTCCCCCTCACTGTCTGAAGTGACTTACATTTGGTAGAGGCAATAGAGGGAGCATGTTTCCACGTCAGAATGTGTGATACCTGCGTGGATGGAATTTATTACAAACTGAAAAGAAGCTCTGTAGGCAGAGGAATAAAAGGAACCTAATGTGAGTAAGGTGATTTTGGAAAATGGTGAGGTCTGCTATATATTTAAAGTCTGTCTTGTTGCTGAGTATCGTAGGCACCCTCACAAAAGCTTTCAAGACTGATGGACCCATAGATGCCTTTGCAAGTGAATGAATGTATTTAAGGGTAAGGAATTGTGACTGAAGAGCTGTTCCCCATGACGGTGGGAAATGTGGTGGAGCTGTTAGCCTTGACATTGTTTTGCCTTTTGCGTTTGTTTTCCATTTGTCTCAAGCCTCTCAGTGAGGTGTGGTCAGTGGTTTTGCTGCCCACTATGCCACACAGAGCCAACAAAGAAAACCCTGCTACGCTGCTTTCAAGCAAGCCTGTCCTGCTCTCTGTAGTAGTAGGCCCTCTAATGGCAATGCTAGCAGTAGTCAGGAATTCTTCACTTTCCTGGGTACTACCAGTATTTGGAAACATAACTGTGTGTAGTTGTGGCAGGCACATTCTTCTCTCTTTCAGGATTTTTTCTGTCCCACACCGTGCCCGGCCATGGTTGCAGCCACAGCCCCTCGGGGCGGCTCTTGTGTCCCGCTCTCGTTTGAGGGGTGGGAGCAAAAGCGTGGGGGATAGAAAAAATCCTGAAAGAGAAGAGAGTGTGCCTGCCACATAGAGTAAGTTCAGTTTTCTAATGAATGCTCTGCATTCTAAAGCAGTCATCACTGCAGTGTGAAGAGAACTTCATACACTGTGAACTGTGGTGAAGATGGCTCAGTAATTGGCCACAGTGATCTCACTACAATCCAGCTCACATGAGTAAAACGCTTACAATTTTTGTAATCTCAATAAAGAGACTACAGTGCTTTAATTACTGCATAATCCCTTAAAAGCTGAATGTTCATTTTGAAATAGATAAAGTGGTAACAGCTTGTAATTGCTCAAGTTGCTATCATGTAAGTAAAGAATTGTTTGTATCAGCTGGAGTGTAAGTGTAAAGTTACAGCATAGTAGAAAAAATAGTCTTTTGGTTCATTAGTCTTGGCTTTCCTAGAAGTTTTAGAAACCAAAAACCCTTTCTTTAAATAAATACCATACTTCATTATGATTAAACTCTTTTCTTCATGTCAGTCTAATGCTGACATCATTAATTAACCAGCTTTTTGTGATAACATAGATTAATAGATAACAGATTAATAATCTTTGCTTTTAACAAGGAGGGAGGGGTTTTTATCCCCACCTACTTTTGATATCTTGGGTTGGTGAGATCAGTAAAGGTAATGCTATTCACCCATGTGTCTTACAGAGGAAAGTACTGAATTCAAAATCACTTGTGCTTTAAAAAACAGCTGCTACAAAACAGAAAAAAACAACCCCCACTCCATTATCTTCCTTGTATTGTACTTAAAGGTCAAGTCATTTGCTCAAAGCCAGTGAGAGATTTTGTGATGTTTACACACCAAACTGCCTCTAGGGAGGTTCAGCAGCCAAACTTCCTACCACAAGCGTCATGGGAACAAGGTGAACAAGTCTACATCCATGGGACAAAGGCAGGAGCGGGGGTGGTGTTCCTCAGAGTGTAGGACAAAATGATGCCTGGTCATCTTTTCTGACAGGTTTGTGGGTGCTGTTTGAGAGCAGCAGTTGGAGAAAACGAGGGAATAGAGGATGCTGCTGAGTATGGAGCCCAGACACTTCCCTGGCTTACCTGCAGTGCTTGGGCAGTGGCTGTGGCTCTTGCAGGAGGTTCAGCAGTGATGTCTGCACTGCTGCAGGAGTGTATATCCTGCTTTCCTAGGCTGCTATGCACTTCAGGTATGGCATTTTTCAGGCTGCTGTATGTAGGAGAAAGAAAGTATTCACACATCAGTGTATGCTCCCCCTTTCCTTTTTTTTTTTTTTTTTTTTTTTTTTTTTTTTTTTTTTTTTTACTGTGTTCATTGACTTCAAAGTACAAGCTTTCCAGCCATCACCTGGTCTTTGATCTTCCCCTGTGGTTACAAGCCTCCAGAAGGAGGAACATCAAAGCCAGGAATGGCTAGTTTTGTTGGCAGATGGGCATTTAATTGTTGCCCTCCTTTGTCCTACTAGGATGCATTCCAGGAAGAATATTACCGCACAGGAACCTACCCAGCAGTCCCTACAATACCACCCCGTCGACCATGGACACTTTTGAACTGGCTTTTCTGGGCCTTATTGCTGCTGTATCCCTTGTTCCAGCTGCTCATCAACATGATCAACAGTGGATCATCATTGACACTGGCTAGTTTTGCATTTGTCATTATAATAGGTAAGTTTTCTGATACAACGATTACTTAGAGTGTAACTGTAATAGGATTTAGTGAGATTTGCTAAATATAAGGGTGACTTGTGAATTCAACAGCCCATCTAATATGTCCACTCTAGCCTGCACTAGGTTAAAAAGATTCTATTTTTGTTTATTTTTTTATAATTGTACTGGTTTTTGTAAGAGCTGCATACAAAATGTTCTGTTTCTGTAGAATTCAACAGTGACTTCTCGGTGGGTTGCCTACAAAAGGCTTTATTTTCTTGTGTTGTGTGCTGCTGTGTTCTACTTAAAATGCTTAGAAGAAAAGCACAAGGATAATTTATTCCTCTGAGAATGCTTTTGTCTAATCATAGTCTGATGTGTCATGCACTGGTAACCCACAGTTTCATAATTTAAGCACAGCCTGTTGTGGCCATCTACTCTGACTTACATAGACAGGGCATGGACTGTCACAAGTGATTCCTATAGTTCCTGCAGCAGTTCTGAACTGCCTTGGCTCATATTTCAACTAGTATGATATTTAAGACAAGGAAGGAAAACAAAACAAGGCGCTGGCCCAAAGAAAGGGGTATCTTATTTGGTGTTCTTCATGGAAGCAGGAACCAGGTCAGTTTAGCAAACTGCATCATATCTGGGTGTCTATGATTGAACGCTGGTTTGAAGAGTAAGTTCCCTTCCAGAATAAGCCATAAATTTTTAAAGCAAATACTGTCTGTTATTGCACTGACTATCACAGGTATTTATTACTTCATCGCCTTCACATCTGTGTTTATTACAAACAAGCTTGGAAAAAGAAACGGAACTTCACATTCTTTCTGGCTCTGAGAGAACTTAGATACAGAGCTGACTTTAAAAGCCATGTTCAGAATAACAACACAGAGGAGATAGGAAAATGTGGAACGTTTCCTTGCCTCAGAAGTGGATCTTTGCTCTCTACCCAGGAAATTGTTCCTAGCACATAACATTTCTTTGCATTCTCAGAAGTCTGAATCTTGAGCTAAATTGATCAAGATTAACTAACAAACATCCTTTTAGCCATCTGTGAAAAGTTTGATGTGGTAGGCACACAATACTCTTTTTCAGAAACTGCTCACCAAAACAAATGCTGCATTAAGCTCCTGTTGATGCTTCTTATAGAGGTAATTGGAAAAGGAACAGTTTGTGTGTGTGTGTGAGTGTGCATGGAGGCAGAAAATTCCTTCATGATGCTTTGAGCCAGAGGAAGGAAAATGAGCAAGGATAAGGTCCAGCATAATAGTTGGTACATTAGGTGGGCAGGGTAGAGGAAAAAAGAAGGGAATCCTGAGCTCTTTTTTTCATCTGGAGAAACTGTTGGTGCTTGTTACCCTGGAAATGCTTTGTGTAAAATGTTTAAGAATTCCTTGGGGCAGCAACTACAACTTAAAAGCCTCTTTTTCTACCCACCTTGCTTGTTGGAAGTCATAAGCACAGCCCCTTCCCCTTCCCTGAGTGGTGAAGAGGATGGGAGTGTAGAGTGAGCACTGTGGTTGGGGTGTGCTAGGAATGGGAGGCAATGGGTTCAAATCCCTGTTGCTTGCAGAGAAAGGTGAATCAGCCTCCCCTGTGCTCCTTTACAAAGTGGGTAAACAGCAGTGGGTAGGATGAGGTGTGACACCATTGTAAATGCTACTGCCTGGCAGTTTGCTCAAGAGGACATTTGTTCTGTCTTTGGAAGAAGTGCTGGCATAGTCTGTTGGCACTGGATTGTGGAACGATGGCCTAATGGTGCACTGAAGCGTAGCTATTGCAAAATGGTTTGAATTTTTCATCTTTCCTTCAGCATTTTCCTCTTAATTCAGTTTCTTCACTCAGCAGACTGGTTGGTTGGGTGCCACTTCAAACTGCTTCATGCCTTGTGTACACAGGGAGCCTCACACCATTATTCAGGGTTTCTGGAGTTTAACCTCAGGGCCGACTGCTTTACTGCTTCACACTAGTATTTGTGATGGTTTTGGATTTAGCCCTTTACCATTTAGTTGAGTGACACCACACCCCTCACCCTGCACCCTAAGCCTAATACAATCTTGCCATTAGTGACCTAGGTCACATCTTTGTTTATGAAGAAGTGAAATAAAGAACCTGTAAAGGAAAAAAGCTATGATGCTACCAAGAATAGATGGCAAGAATTACCTTCTTTTCATTTCTTTCTCCTTTTCTTGTTCCCCGCTTATCTTTCTTCTGCTTCTGGCCACAAGGAAATGTTAATAAGCAATCTGCACTGAATCATCTCTTGAATGCAGTCATAATCCAAAGGATTTATTCTCAGGTTATCTGTAACACCGGATCTACCAGAAGGCTACAGCAGCCTGCTGCCAGAATGAACAGCAGCACTAGGGGTGAGCTCCCAGGCTGCCAAAGCCCAGCAGAGAACACCTTGAGGGTGTGTGATGTGCTTTGCTGCCCCATACATGCCTACCCTGCCTGTGAGCTGGTGCAGCTTGCAGCCCTCTGCTGGCTCTGCAGCACCTCTGTGCTCAGCAGCAGCTGAGTTCTCATTCCCACCTGGAGTGACCAATCCTGAAGGGCCTGCACTTGCCTGCAGTGGAGGACCCGTGGTAGAGGCTGCTGCCCGATCAGACTCAGCCACCTTTAGCTGATGAGCAGGGAATGAGAAGGATGATGTCACTTATGAGCAGATAGCAGCCACTATGAAGCTGTGGAGGGAAGAGAATCCATGGGAGTGGAAGAAAGCTCAGCCATTAGTCAAACCAAACAAATCACAGAGCTGGTTTATCCTGGTTGCTTAAAACAGGATGTGTCATTATCTGTTGCCAAAAAAGCAACAGTTACTTTAGTATATTGCAGTCTGTTTGTGTTTTGCCATATTCCTTTAAAATCAATGTTATTGCTGCTTTGGAATAATTGGTCTCTTTCTGTGGAAACAGGAAAAAACCTCAGCCCAAGCTGTCACATTGACTTTTGTAGCCAAGAGCTGAGTTTCTGTAGGAAGACCATTCTCCCCTAACTGTGTCCTATATCCTGAGGGGAATCTCTGTCATGAATGTTCTGGATGTGATGCAGCCATCTATTGACAGAGGAGCAGCCAGTATTTTATTCTGGAGTTTGTCTCCAGCTTTAGGCAAGTCTCCAAAGTGACTCCTGCCGTGGCTGGGAGACAGCAGAGCATGGGCACAAACACAGCTTGGAGGTTGTGGCTCTTGGTGGCAGCTGGAATTGTCTGCCCAGCACAGCCAGTGCATAGCAAAGCAGGGAGGCCTCTGTTTGCTGCTTTTACAGTGGGAGTGGTAATTGGTGCCTGGTGGCTTAACAATGTAAAAGGAAGGTTTTTTTGCAGACTGGAGGTATTTATTTATCAGAATACAAAATCAGCTCTTCCCATTGCTCCTAGCAGACCTTTTCTTACTGTTTGTGACTGAATCACACAGGTAGTGTTTTTTTTGGCATTTTGACAGCTCACCTGCTACTCCAGAATCAGGAAATCTACTGCAGTCCCTAGTACCCATTGTAGTAGATTGCTGGTTTGAAGAGTGGGTTTCAGGACCTGATACAGGTGCAGGTAAGCACAAAATAAACCTTTTGTGATTGAGCAGAGTAACTAGGAGGTCCTTTTACCTGATACCCTCGGCATTGTTTCTAGATTGTCATTTGTCCTTTGGATAAATGACAGTCTGTCCTTTGGATAAATAAGTTTCTGCTTGTTGTGCTCTCCAGGAAAACACTGACTGGCTTGTAAGTAACTGGCTGTTCAGGTGGAAAGAGCTCTTAAGAAAAATGCTCCACTTGAACTGGAGTAGAAGGATAGCAATCCCTCAGACCCTGACTCTGAGATCTAAGCATGAATAACCAATGTATGTACAGCTCTGCTTGGTTCAGCTCAAACTCTTTCAGCCCTAAATAAATGATATTCTTTATACTGTGAATGCTGTCCCCTTGTGCTTTGCTGTGCAGCAGTTTGGCTGTTTATACTCCCAACAGACATCACACTGTGCTCGTACCTTACTGATGTTCTGGGACTGGGAGCCCTTTGTGAAACTACTTGAATCAATACAAGGCATTTGCTGCTCCAGAGGATAAATGCTCACATAGTTTGAGGGACAAAAGTGTTCTGAAAACCAGCTTTAGTTTCACAGGACATATGGCAAGAGATGTAGATACTTAGCTCACAACAACTATTTAAAACTTGGTGCTGATATTTTGGTGTTGAAGCAGTAAGCATGTCTGTCAAATGTCAGTATCTGTATTTGACAGCAACTTCTTTTTTTTTCCTCCTCCTCCTGCTTCCCCAGTCTCATTTGGCTTCAAAGAACCAAATGCTGCGTTGCCTTTCATGTTTTGATAACTTGTGTTGAGGAGAACACCCACCCTTCATGCTCTAGAAGTAATTAACTGTAAAGCTGTCAACAGCAGTTAAAAGGGGAGTGTATGCAAAAGATGAGGGAGTTTTTAAAGGGAGCAGCAGCTATTCCATGTTTAGTGCTAAAAGCACGGTGGCATCTGGGCTGATACCACGGGGCCAGCAGCTACATATCAGTCCTAGGTGAGAGAAGGGGTTCCCTCTGACCAAGTGCAAGTAGCTGGGAGCCAGTTGGGAGTCCGTGGGCCGCTGTGTGTGTGATCCCAGTGGGTGGGATCACACTGCACACCTGTGGACATGGCAGTGTCCGGGAGTGAGTGTGGAGCACAGGGCTGGAGCGCGGGGTGACTGGGCAGCGAGGCTGGCGATGCGTGCAGGCTGAGATGAATGGAAGGTGAGGAGGGGACAAGCCAGCAGGTTTTGTAGTAAGTTGTACAACAGGCTACAAACCATGTGCAGGATCATGCCTGTGTCAATTCTGCCTTTTGGTGAAGCTGCCAGATAGTCTGGCCTTTCAGCCTGGTGCCTACAAATTGGGGGAATTGGGGTGGGTTTACTTTTTTTATGTGAATGTGTTACTTGTTTCTTCTCCTTCATAGTATGTAGGATAGGGCCTCAGTGGAAATGTATACCATTCATACAGTCTTTAGTTGTACAAATTTCAATTCCAATGCATAACCTATATAATTCAAGTGCAAACTATATGTGGGAAATTTTTATGCCCCTGCCTGCTGTGCTGTTTATAGCACTTGCTGTGCAGTATAAAGGCAGGGCAACAGATGAGAAAAAAAATCCTGAGTTGTAAGAGAAAAGGTGGAAATACTTTGAGCTAAGGTTTTGCTGAGGGATGAGCTACTACATGTGGAGGTGGTGATTTTCTTGGAGCTAAAATGTGTTCCAAGACAGTGATTACACTCTTGGCTCTCTTGACTGTGTCAGCTCTGCCCTCCTTGAGCCCCCGGCACTCCAGGAGGCAGAGCAGGTCCTCAGCAACCTCCTGCATCTTTTGGATGCTGAGTAATGGTGGGCACAAAGATACAGAAGCTCAGTTACCTCAGTTTGCTGTGGAGTACTACAAGAATGCTTCAGCCAGTAGCTTCTCTCATGTACTTCTCATGGTGGTCTTAAACACAGCTATGAAGTTAGGCACTGCTGATTAGTTACTGCTTGATCTCCCTTTCTCTTCTTTCTTGAAGTAAAAAGCCTGAAGTTCCTCCTGCTACAGTTGTATGTGAAACAAGAAGTGAATAAATCCTTGAATGTGAAGGTATCATCTCTCAGGTCTGCACTGAAGCTCCAGGAGAGCTGTGGCGAGGAGGCAGTGCAGGGACAGAGCAGTGAGGCAGCCCAGCCTTGCCCCACTTTGCTTCCACATGCTTGGCAAACATTAGCAATCCTCTTCTCCTTGCACTCCACCTTCCCCAGGGTGCTGAGGGCTACAGGGTGAAATGGGGATAGAAGGCAGTGGCAGCTTCTGCCAGGGAGCAAAGGACAAAAAAAAGACATGTTGAATTAGTTGATTTTTGTGTCTAGGCATTCTTGGAACTGGATTAAATCCCCAGTATGGTGTGTGGCTGCTGTAACAGCTGCTCTTATTTTGCTCTGTGTCCATCTCCAGATGCTGTTTCTATCCCTTGTGGTTAAAATCTTAATGATTTCATGCTTACTATTATGTTATGACCCCAGACTGCAGGCTCCACGTTGAATCTTTCTCTTGTGTTCCCCAGCTCATGGCCAGTTAAATGTCAGAGATGGTTTTCTTTCTTTCTTTCTTGTCTGTCTATGAGAGTGAAGCCCTTAACTTGTCTAAATGGTGTGTGTTTCTATTCACAGACTGACGGTGGAGTGTAAGTGACAGTGAGTGCCCTCAGAGGCAGCTCCCTTTCTGGACTGTTCACTGCACAGCTCTGCCTGTGAGAGGGCCCTGCTTTCCGGGCATCCACAGGACCTGAGGGCAGCCCCATGGGCAGACCAGCTTCTCATTGTCCAGCAATGCTGTCCCATTGCTGTGACTCATCCCTGGTATCCAGTTACCACTTGCACACTAAAAACTGCCAATTTACTGTCAGACTGCACAGCACGAGTCTGTAGTGATGGCTCTTTGTGGCCCATGTTGTGCCAAGTAGCAGCTGGTAAAGCACAGGGCAGCACTGTTTGCCAGCTGCCAGTGCTAAAGTGCAGCAAATGCCAGGACACGGCCTTGTGTCAGCCCTGCGGTTCACAAGGGAGGCCTGCTAGTGGGATGAAACCTCTGGATTCTCTTGGTGAGCTCAGGCACTGACTTTAAGCATAACGAGTCCTTTGGCTGGTGAGAATCCAGAGTCATCTTAGAGAAGTAAAGACTGATGAGAACAAGACATTAAGAGCACCTCACCTTACTGTCACCATCAGTCAGAAAGAGAGTGGGACTGGGGGTTTTGTGGCTTTCTTAGGTTTGTTTGGTTTGGGTTTTTTTTTTTTTTTGAAAGCATTCTGAGCAGAGGGAAGATGTTTGTCATTTCCTAATAGGTTTAGGTCTAAAACAAGCATGGCAGTTCTGAACATGTACGGTAGCTGAGCAGAAGCTTGAAGAGTAATATATTTTGGGCAGCAGAGCCCCTTTACAGGGAAACCAGATGTGTGAGTGAAGGTTAAGTCGCATTCAACTTAGTCACTTTAAGTGCTACAGATAAATAAAATAATCCTTGCACATGGTGAATTATGACTGAATGATCTATAAAATTTTAAATTAACTTGTTTTCTTGTAATGAACTACCATTAACAAATACCACAACTTACATTTTTTTTGTTTATCAAGATCTGAAGTTCTCTTTTGCTTGCTTGTGCTCTTTCGCACATGGGTCTGTTGAAAGTCAGCAGAATTCCCTTCCCGTGGCACACAGAGCTGTGCACGCCTGTGCCTCTAACACCCATCTGTGTCCAGCCTGAGGCTCTTCCTTCATGAGATGTCATAGGCAAATAAGTTGATGTGGAGGTGTGGGAGCATCAAATGCACCTTTCATCCAAGGTCTCTTTCATGATGCTACACCAGTACAGATCTTCAGGCCGAGCCACAAACAGCTTTAACTGTGTTTGTTTTGCAGCTTCTGTTGGTGTCAGATGGATGATCGGGGTTACAGAAATTAACAAGGGCTCCACCTATGGCAACAATGACAACAAGCAGAAACAAAAGTAGCACCTTCAGAGACTGCTTCAATCCAGAGGGAACAAATGCAACTGCTGAAAACTCTTAAGTGCATATCACAGTTCTTCAAGTGAGATCAGAGGATGAATAATTGCTGTGCATATCTGAATTTGTGCTCCTGTTGTTTTCCTCTGGGGTTTGGGCTGGATGACATGCTGGAAAGATGCACTCCTTCGTATACTCTCAACAACAGATTTGCACATGTGTGGTTGGTTTGTTTTCCTATGAAGTGTCTTAAGTTTTGAAGAAAAAAAAAAATTCCAGCGTGCTTGTATGAAGAGACTCTACCTGGAAACTAACCAGAGGTACAAGCTTTAATGTCAGAAGATTGTTACAAGATGATTAAACTTGATAGTTGTGTAGCTCACACAGTTTAACAACCATAATCTGTCAGTGTTTAAATACAGTACAGCAGGATGCTGTGCTTGGTTATAGCAGTATTGGACTGAAGCAGCTCTGCTGAACTGGCAGAACTACAGTGGAGTTTTTGTACATCTTGAACTTATTCCCACAGTGTGCACTACATGGGTCCTTCAAAACTTCAGCCAGACCCTGGACATGCAGACATCGGAGCCTGGCAGTAGCAGAACCTGGATTAGAATTTGGCCTTGTGGCCTGAGCAGAGCTAAGTTACCCATTGCCCTCTCTTTCCCCAGGCCATACATCTGAGGGATAGCTGAAACTTGTAGTTCTTCAGAATAAATGTAATTTTTAATTTGGAAAAATTGAAGTAGTAAAATGCCTTTTGGCTTTAAATGCTACTTAAAATTCCAGGCCATCCTAACAATTTCAGAAAGAAAATAACTGGGCATGGTGTAGTGGAATAATGCAAAGTGTGCAGAATGTATGCCCCATACCCATACTGTTGTGATCCTAATTAACCTGCTTGTCTGTCTTTTCTGATAAATTAGTTTACTTGGTGCCTCATAACAGCCAGCCTGAAGTAATAGTAAATTATTTTCTTCTGAGGAGGAGGGGGAACTAGGAGAGAGACCTAGGACAGTGGGTATGGCTGATTTTTTTGTCTGTCTTGATATGACACCCCTCTGAATTAAATAAAACTAGAATCAAGCTCTGAGGAAAGAGACATGACATTCCCAGCATTGATTTCGGGGCAGCTGCCCCCTGTTTTTAAACTTCCAGAGTTAAGGATCTGCAGGTAACTCGAAATAACTTGTTTAAAGCAGAAAAAAAAAAAAAAGGAAAAGTGGGGACATTAACTAACAGCAAATATGATTGGAAAAAAAATCACAATTTTTTTAAAGTCTACAGATCCTGACATTGAGCAGTAGCAGTTGTGGTTGACAGTTTCAAAGATAGTCCATATTCACTCAGCACAGAGCTAAACCATGATAGTCTTTAGTGAGGAAAGTGAGTAGTCTTACTCTAGCAGCTGGTATAAAAACATTGCTCTTTTCATGTAGTAAGACTGAGGCCAGAAGAAAGAGGCTAATACAACAATATGAATCACTCCATGAAATATGTATTTGTTATTCAGTACATCAGATAATCTAGAAACTCACCTTTTTAATGTGCAGCACCTAAAAAGGTGAAGTAATGCTTTTAGCATGGAGCAATAAGTGAAGTTTAGGGATAGTGGAGGCAGTAACATTTCCAAGATGAAGGAAGGCATAGGCAGTGTGAGAGACTGCTCTCAGGGGCTTTTTGCCTCAACATCTTGTGTATACATGCATTCCCTATGTTCTGAAGCTTTCGGGAGCATCTCGTTCAATGTCATGAACAGAAACATGGGCTCAGATGTTTTTAGAGCCCAAGAGTAGAAAATACTGTAATGTTTACAAATACTGTAATGTTTAGAGTGCCCTGTAACACTCTTACTGAGTATTGCATCTTGTAGTAATGATCAGGCATATTACAAGGCAGACCTGAAGCCACTGTACACAAGAGCTGGAAAACAGCTGGGAGGGGAGAAAGGAAAGGCCTCTCCAGGGTAGCATTTTACTGTGAACATTACCTGGCAGGCCCAGTGGCCTTTTCTCAGGGTGGGAAGTGAGCAGTTCTGAGCAGCAAATACATAGTCCTGGAGTAACAGGCTCTTGTGTCTTCCTGAGAGCCACAGACTTAACATGCAGTAAAGAAGACATCTGGCATTCCTTATGAATCTTAGTCCTTTCCTCTCCAGCTGTGTGCAGTGCCCTTCTCCCAGAGGAAAGTACCAAACAAGTAAATATTTCTGAAAGAGTACTAAGATGATTTTATACCCATTTCCCTGGGACCAACTCTTAGAACAGGCTGAAGGCCAAACATGCCACTCCTGGATCCATCCTCCTAAGCACTTGTGCAAGCCCTGGCACACCACTGAGGCCCTTCCAGCACTCACTGACAGAGAAAGCTTAATGGTCCTTGCCAAAGTTAAACTTCTCCAGTTCACTGTATTAAAAGAATGACATAGGTTATTAGGAAGCAGTGTTTGCCCCTCATCCCCACAAGCAACTGTATGTTCTAAGACTGCCTTAACAAAATTAGTCTTAATGTTTGTTTATACAAAAATAAAATTATAAAAAGCTAATATGCAGTGAATGAGTTTTCTTTTGGTTGGCAAGAAAAAAGTGGTAAGTTTGTCACCTTTATCTTGACTCCTAAAAGCTGTCCACAGTCACTGTTTGTGCTGAAGGGCACCGAAATAAGGCAAGTGAGGACACAACTCAGATACTTCTGTTACACTGCAAAGTGAAGCACACTGTAAGCTGGGGGGACACTTTTACTTCAGGTACTTTCATAGTCCTTTACTGAGGATGACAACATACTTCCCCTCCTATCACACAACTGACGATAGAGCACTGAAAATAGGGGAAAGTCTTTGTTTAAATTTATATTTTTTGAGAGCCTAAATACATGCACAGATGACATGCACAGCAAGGCTCATACTTTATCTAGATAGAAATGTCAGATTTTTTGGTACCTCCTTAACAACTCACACTACACCTGTGATTAATCAAGGATTTGTGGATTAAGATGAGAGACAAGACACTAGAATATAAAAACAAATATTTAAAGCAAGTTTTAAATTACCTATTTTAAATCTAAAGCTCTAACAAGAATATATAAACTTGCATTAATGATTACAAGTAACAGTTTTAAGTCACCTGTTTGTAATAGCAAGTAAAAAAAAAATCAACTAGATCATGTACTGCAGGCTTTTTCTTCCAATTGGTAACCACTTCTAATCTCTCTTCCTTTTCTGAGGTTGATGACAACTGAGGTGTGGTGGGGAAATGAAAGCCCAGAATCAGAAGTCAGTTTTTGAAAAGTAACAGTAGGTTCTTGGTTTTGCCAAGCAGAGCACAAGAATCAGCTTGTAGAGTTCTCTTCTAAAAGACAAAAATGTCATGCAGAGCACTCCCTATTCACAGTGCATACATTCAAGAAGAAGTTACCCCTTAGCTAAAAGGTAGTGTCAGGAACTGCCCATTACCCTCTTTTCTCAGAAGGCAATGAAAGGGGGAACCTTAACTTCTGTTGTGTAAGATGCATCTCACAGTACTCATCTTGAAACTTGACAAGACATTGCCTATTACAATAAAAGAGCAGCTTATTCCAGTTAGGACAGCTTAGCAGTCTTATCCCAGTGTTGCAAAAAAGTTTAAAATGTGGCACAGTCCCACATTTATTTTTGTAAGAAAAACCCTTCACCAACATCTCCTAAAATAAACCATTTATTGAGAAAAACCGTTTTGTTTTTTTTTTTTAATTTCATTCATCAGCCTTGTGCATAACAAATCTGAAGCTTGCCAAAAACAAATAAACAAAAACCCCAGTAAAAGTTCACAGTCAGTGCACTCAGATTAAAAAACAAGGTCCATAACACCTGATGTAACACTACAGCATTTTTCTGAACCTAGAGAGTTCAAAAATACTACATATTAACAATACGAGTTCTCAATCAAATGAGAAACAGGAGAAGGAACAAAAAGGGTATGGTCCATATACAGTAGTAATGGCACTTTCACTGAAACATGCAGCTTCTTCCAACTTGCAGACACGTCACATGAGCAACATGTGCCAAGTAAAATGTACAGGAGCAGCAGAGGAAGTGACACTGTCACTTGTGCAGTCTTTGTTAAGGTCAACTTTTATACTGTTTCTCAGCACAGTCTTTATGTAAATATTACATACAGTAGTGATTCAAATCTTGTCAGAATAGAAAAGGCCAGAGATTGAGTAACTTCATTCTTCGTCTGTGCAAACCTGTGAAGGAAGCAAAAGGCAATTACTTTAGCCACCTCCCTCGTGCAGCAAGATGATAATGGATCCATTTCTTTAGCACCTTCACATCTTTGAAGTTTTTTTCTCTCCCTTGTTCCACAGTAATGCATTACAAGTGTTTGTATGGGAGTACTGACATTCCCACTGTTAACTGCATCCTTTAGGTGCCTAAAGCAGTGTCCGCCTCTGATGGATGGGATCTGCTACAGCTGCACTGATGAGGGATGGGTGATGATGCCAAACACACTGATACTGAACCAGAACACCAAAGTGATCAACTTTATGCTGGAAAATGAGACAGAATTCAATAACCTACTGCACTCCTATTTCATAAAAAAACAAGTTATTAATACAGCTCAATTTGTAGCTGTGAATATTTGCTTGTTCTTAAGGAAGGCATCACACCATAGTTCATGGAAGAACTGAAGACTGTTACAGCAGCTGCCAGATAAAACATTCAGTATGAATGTTTTAAGTAAGAACTTAAAAGAAAAGCAGCTCTTTGCACAGAAGAATGGGAGAGTTCTCAAGCACATGCTGGTTACACTTTTTATGGAGGGGCCCTTATCTCTAAAAACCTGTGCACTTGTACTTGCTGAAGTTTTTGCTGCAAAGCCCTTTAGATCTAATTAGTTGAAGCCTGACTTGCCTTTTTAACATAATGCATTTCAAAACAGCAGTCAAAGTTTATTGCACATCCTATAGGCAACATGCTTGCTGAAAACAACCCTGTGTGATTCTGGAAAATTGCCAATCAATTTTTCCTGGACAGCATCAATTTGCTAGCAGCCCCTCACCATGGTACCAACCTCTGTGGCATCACTGAGAACAAAGAAGCCAACTAAAAGCTGTTCCCCATTCCCATCTGCAGTTTTTGTAGCCAAAGTCATCAGACAAACCTTGACAAAAGGATGATCGAGAAGCTGGCTGGCCGTCCACCTCATCTTTGGGTCACTTTCCAGGCAGTGGCAAAGGAAGTCTTTCCCTTCTGGGCTCACTTTGTCAGGAACAGGAGGTTTATGACCCATCCCCACTTTATACATGATCTGGAAGTTGTGCTCATATTCATGCCAAGGCCTCTGCAATAAGTGACAGCATTGCTAAGTGCAAGCATTAGTAAACAACTTGCTGCCCACTACAGCATGTATTTCTGTGCTCCAGGAAATAAAAACCATCCCAGTCCTTTCAGACATGAGTGTGACAAACTGCTGAGACCAGAATTTGCAGAAAAACTGGCAAGAACAGTTTGCTTTTCATCAATACATGAAACATTGTTACCTTGCCCGTGACCATCTCTATGACAACACAGCCCAGGCTCCAGATGTCTGCTGCACGTCCATGCCCTTCTCCTTTAGCTCTCGTGATTACTTCTGGAGCCATGTATGCTTTGAAACAACATATATGATGCCATCAGTTCATACAGCAGAAGGAACCATATACATCAAATGACTGACTGGGAAAACCAAATACTTTCTTAAATATCCAATGAATTACTACTCAGGTTTTCTTGCTAAGTTTTGCCATTTGCTGGTTTCTTGGTTTTTGACATGTTTTCAGCACAACTGTCTTTCACTTTGAAAAGCGATACTGAAAATGCTGTTACAGTACATGCTTTCAGTGACTGCCATTTTCTGAAAATCTGTTAAGCAGCTGTTTGGTGAAAAGTACTGTTCCAGACTGCAGCCTTATTGAGAAAAATACAACCCCAGAAAACACATGCTCCAGCATCTCTATAGTTACAGACAAACACCATTTTAACTCTCACATTATATCATTCACTCATTGTTTTGGTTTCTGGATGTAAAGCACAAAACTAGCTAAGGTAAAATCAAGTTTCCCTGAAACACATGGTTTTATTCCAGGCTCCTAGCAGATGTATCTTCATGGTAACTAGACAAGTACCTGCCTAGCACAAGCTTCCTCACCTGCAGTCCCCAAGGTACTGTTCACTTCTCCAGGCATTGTTTGGGTATTGTTCTTCAGCTTCACTGAGCAGCCAAAGTCTCCTAGTTTAATCAGTCCAGATGAGGTAAGAAAGATGTTGGCTCCTAGGAAACACAATGAAACATGGGACACACTTGTTTAAACCAGAGATGAATTTGAGGATGTCTCAATATAGCCTTGGAGGTTGCAATGGATAATAGCTGAATTCACATTTAGATCTTAATTAGTGTGGAATATGACAGCATTAAAGATGTCATATGGGTGGGCTTGTGCTAACATGAATAGTACTGGAAGTTGACAAGTGTTCAAACAAAAAAAAACCAAAAAAAAAAAAAAAAAAAAGTATTACGGGCAAATTAAACAGCTTTCCAGCTTTCCATACAAGCTCGTTACAAGAAATGATTCCTTCAGGAATTCCAGTGCTTCTCCTTGTGATCACTAAACTCAGAAGAAAGTCTGAAAGCACTAAACTCTGCTTCCTGGCAGAGGCCATTGCTGTGTCCCTCCCACTAGTACCTCTTCAGTTCTTCTGAGTCAAGACAGATGATATCATACTTGCCAATAAAAATAGTGTGGCCAGCAGGACAAAGGAAGGGATCATCCTCCTGTACTGTGCTCTGGTGAGGCTGCACCTCAAGCTCTGCATCCAGCTCTGGACCCCTCACTACAAGAAGGACACTGAGGTGCTGGAGCCCGTTCAGAGAAGGGCACCAGAGTCGGTGAAGGGTGTGGAGCACAAGTCCTCTGAGGAGTGACTGAGGGAGCTGGGGGTGTTTAGCCTGGAAAAAAGGAGGCTCAGAGGAGACATTATTGCTCCCTACAACTGCCTGAAAGGAGGAAGTAACCAGGTGGGGGTCTGCCTCTTCTACCAGGCAACCAGGGACAGGACAAGAGCAAATGGCCTCAAACTGCACTAGGAGAGGTTCAGGTTGGACATCAGGAGGAATTCCTTCACTGAAAGAGTGGTCAGGCATTGTAACAGGCTGCCCCGGGAGGTGGCGGAGTCACCGTCCCTGTAAGTGTGGCATGGCAAGTGTACCATTGGCATGGCAGTGCCATGGTTTGGTGGTCTGACATAGTGGTGGTTTGTCCAAGATTGGACTCAATCTTGGAGGTCTCTTCCAACCTTAATGACCCTATGGTCACAGTTGACTTGCAAAACAGAGTTTAGAGCATTTTATTACTTATACTACCAAGTGCCTGCTCCTATTGCACTTTACTTCCAGAGTAATTTCTGGAGTAGGACTACCATTAAAATAACTTGCCATACTGGCAGCTTACACTAGAACAAACTTCCCTAGCATAGTTAAAAATCTCCAAGGGAAATCTGCAAGTGGCTTCAAGTGAGTTCTTCAACAG